CAACCGCGCGGCTCCCGCCAGGGGGACATCGTTGCGGCGTCCCCCAACTTCAGCCACGTGCTGCCCAGCGTCTTCTCCAACCCCCTGGCCTACGAGCCCGACCGCTTCGCGGCACCGCGCGAGGAGGACAAGCGGAAGCCCTTCTCCTTCATCGGCTTTGGCGGCGGCCGCCACGCCTGCATCGGGCAGAACTTTGCATACCTGCAGGCGCGTTGGCAGGGACCTCTCTTGGGGCTGAGGGCAGGAGGCGGCTGGACTCTGTTTTGTTGCTGGGGCGTGTTGGGAGAGGGCGGCGGCCTGGCGGTGGTAGTGGGCCCTGCAGAGCGTGGCGGTGTGTCGCTGCTGTGCGAGCGGCTCTGTGGACGGCCTCAGAACGTCTCGTCCCGTCTTGGTTGGCGCTGAGGGCTGAGTACCCCCTGATTCTGGAGTTCACGCACCCTCCTCCCCCCCCCACACACGCATGTACTCACGCGTACGCGCTCACCAACTCACACACACACTCACGACCATGACCCCCACCACCAACAGATCAAGTCCATCTGGAGCGTGCTGCTGCGCAACTTTGACTTCGAGCTGCTGGACCCTGTCCCCGACGCCGACTACGACTCCATGGTGGGGCCGGCACCCACGCGGCAGCATGAGCACACGCAACGCCGCCGGCTTGCTCACCGCTCCCATCCGCCAGCTTGCCGTCGCGTGGGCCAGCCTGGTTGAATACGGGTTCTCCTGCTTTCCGATGGCTGAAATCTGACCGCCTGTTTTCTGTGGGAACGGGGCGCCCCGAAACAGGGGTTCCTGGGTTGGGGCGTGGCAATGACAGCGGCCTTGCCTGACACGTTTATCATCGACCAACCCGTTTGCCATCGCAGGTCATCGGCCCCAAGCCCTGCCGCGTCAAGTACGTGCGCCGCAAGCTCGCGCCCGCCAAGGCCTGAGCCGGGCCGGCCCGCCGGCGCAGCGGCCGCGCGCGCACCCCGCATGACAATGTGGCTGGGAGGGCCCGGGATTTGGTGTGACGGTCGTGCAGGGGCAAGGTGTGGAGGAGCACCCCAGCCCGGCTGAGTGAGGAGGAGCACCCGCGTGGCCCGGCATCGGGCAATACGCCGAGCTTGTCCGCTGAAACGTTCACGTTGCAGCGCTTTCGACCCGGAATGACGCTCAAACCTTGGGGCGTGGCACCTGTGTGCACCCCCGCCCCGGGATGGCGCGGCGCGAGAGAGTGCCGGCGCGCCCCTCGCCGCGCCCTCCCGCCGGCTTGGTCCACCCTTGCGTCGCCCCTTTTTTGCCGCATGTGTTTTTTCTTGTGAGATCAGATGTGTTCTCTATGCTGCGCAGATCTATGTTGATGACTTGTGAAGCTCTAGAGGTCGTGCGGGGTGGTGGGCAGGCAATCGGTATGCTTGGGGGGCGGCCTGCGAACTGCTAGCAGGTGCGGCACGCCCGCCGTGAGCGGCGCCTGCACGTGCGTTGCAGGCGGCCTGTAGATAGCTGACGGTGTAAGCAGTTTTTGACTGTCCGTTGTGCTGGTCTACCTGACATGCAGACTTTCAGTTGGGCGGAGGTTGACAGCAGCCACAAATGGGTGACGCTGGTGACATGCAGTGAGGTGAGACAGACGTTGACTCTACGTGGAGTCAGTCAGGTCAAATCCACTTTCTGCTTTTGGAAGATTATGTTACAGGCATCGCAAACGCTCGCGATGCCGATCCCGCAGCAGCCGGGCTGCCGGTTGCACCTACCAGTTCAGTCTCGACACTTTACAACTCTCAAACCTCAACAATGCAGCAGGAGGCCGTCACGGCAACGCGGCGGCGGCGGCACACTTCAGCCGGTACCACTCGTCCATGCCGCGCGTCGCTGCAGCGCGGCGTGCCGCACGATGCGCTCTGATGGGGCGACTGGAGCTGCGACCAGCGTGCCCCTCACGCGGCGGCAGCTTGCAGCCCTCGCGGCACTGAGTGTTGCAGGTGGGCAGCAAGAACGATGGGGGGGGTGAACAGGCTGGGAGCGCTGCATTGCCGACAGAGGGTTGCCATGTCTCACCCGGCAGAGCACCCAGCCCGCAATGGCACAATCAGAAACGGTCATGCACAACCCACATGCGCGCGCGCACGCTCCCTTTGATATCCGAAGTGGCGGAGCAGGCCGCGCCGGCCGCCGCAGCGGGCCCCACCGCGTCGCCGCCGCCCGCGCCGACGGCCGCGGCCGGCTCGGCCGCCGTGGAGGCGGCCGGCTGCGTGCGCCTCGAGCCGGCGCTGGCGGCGGCGTTCACGGCGGCAGTGTCGGAGGCTCTGGCGGAGCTGGGAGTGGGACCTGAGGAGCAGCTGCAGCGGGAGCGCTTCAAACTGTTTGACCAGGGTGAGGCTGCGTTGGCATGCAGCAGCGGCGCCAGTCATAATCTCTCAATGTTTCAATGCAATTGTTGCCTTGGAAGGCAGCAACAGCCTGGAATAATCGGGGCGGGCGGGGCGCCCTGCATGGCTCGTCACCCACAATAGCAGGGTCGTATCCGTGGCATCCTGCGGCCCCTGCAATGCATGCATTTCTTGTAGGGAGCTTGTGGGATGGAGGCGTTGGCACCTCATACTTAGCTGGCACAAACGCGCTGCCCCCTTGCCGCAACCTGTCATCTGCCCCGGGATGACTCAAGAGTACTCATATTACTACAACGCAAACAAGGACCGGTTGCCGCGCGTGCCGGACCTGTCGGACTCGTCGGGCGGGCTGAGCAACCGCACATACTTCAATTTTGTTAGGTGGGGAGGGGGGGGACACACGCAAGTTTGTCACAGGGTTTCAGGTTTTTACCTGATGTGCAACATACACGTGTGGTACAGATATTTGGCAGTGATATGTTCTGATGATGTCAAACGCATGTACAGCTAAAAGATGTGTACAGTATGCACGCACGCACGCGTCCTTCCTCTTCCAAACACTTGTGTACTTTTGTGTGCACATAGGGACGTGTATTTTGCACCTGCACGGCAGCACTCACGTGTTATTTCCTGAGGATCAGTGAAGGCAGCCTGCCGCACAAGGACAGCCGCTTCCGCCTGCAAGTGGGTGGGCGTGGGCAGCCGCGTGTAAGCGACCCGCCCTGGCGCAAACGACCGCCTGCCCCGCACTAAAGCGCCCCCACACCCTGCCACGGCCAAATCAATTCACGAGCAGCTACATCGGCTGGAAGGTGGCGGCGCGGCGCGTGGCGAGCCCGCAGCAGCGCACGGCGCTGTGCCGCCGCGTGGGGGAGCTGCTGCTACCGCAGGTCGCGCCAGGGGAGGCGGAGGCGCTGCGGCGGGAGGCGGCGCGGTCGCCTGGAGGTGAGCGTGACCGGGCGGGGGCGCCGCGCCCTGCATGCGACTGCCGTGCGCTTCTTGTGTGTTTTGCAACCACCTTTTTTCATGCATTGTGCTTGTCGCGATTGCTGCGTTTTGAAAGCGAGGATTTGGCCCAAGCGAGAGGCGTGCGCGTGCCTCCGCCCCGTGGACGCCCGCACCCAGGCGCTGTGAGCGAGGCAGCGGCGGCAAGAGCGGTCCAGCGGCTGTTTGACCGGCTGCAGTCGGGCGGCTACGTCTGCGGCTGGCAGGTTGTGTGGGGCGATCAGCCGGGCGGCTGGCCGCCGGACTGGTTCAAGCAGGCGAGTGGGGGATCAAGGGACTGCGCCAGCCGCCTCCCTTTTGCGGCGCAGCTGGTCCCTCCTGCTTGCATCTTATTGGGCTACTGGGAACATGCGGCTGCTTTTGCTCGGGTACTCCATTGATTTCTGACCTGCATGTCGCAAACAAGGTGCAGAATGCACTAGGCGCCTGGAGGCCGCGACCTGCATCCTGAGTCGGCCCTTGACGTGTGCGGCGCCCAAGCTGTTGTGCACAGCGGCTTCGGTGGACTCCCACCCACCTGCAGGGACGTGTCTTGCGGCCAATCCTAAACCCTGACAGCAAGCACCCCTCCCCGCTCCGCCCCTGCGCCGACCCCTCCCTCTCCACCCACAACCGCAGGACCCCGGGCTCGTCGGCGACGTGCCGGGCAGCTTCCAGGCAGCCGCCGCCGCCCCGCCCGGCGGCGATGGGGAAGGCACCGCCGCCGCCGCCGTCCTCGAGGCCCCGGCGGCCGCGGGGCAGGCGGTATTTCAGGCGAAGCTGCTGCAGCCGGCCGACATCCAGGCGTCGGTGGCGCTGCGCTCCGAGGATGACGCGTTCTGGGGGCGCCACGTCAGCGCAATGGTGGCGGCGCTGCTGGCGGCGGGCGGGTGGCGGGCGGAGGCGTCAGAGTACTTTTACCAGGTCGGCCGCCCTGGAGGGCGGCACGGGGCTGTGTGGACTTGAAATGGCACTCTGCGCGTGGCGCTCCGCTATCTATCGGGGTGCAGGGAGCGCAAGGGACAGCCATAGCGCCAGTCTTGGTAGTGTGGGTCCGAGCGGAAGCCCCAGCGACCCCGGGGACGGCGGCCGCGGCGCAATTCGCCGCCGCCGTCCGCGCGCCCTTGCAAGCCTACCTAGCGCCGCCGCCAGACGGCCCCTCCGGCGCTGCTCGCCCCGCCCCACAGCCTCCGCGCCGCCCTCACCCTCTCCAAGGCTGATGGCTCTTGAGGTTCCTCCCATGCAACGCGCGCCGCCCTCCCCCCGCCCCCACCCAACCCAAGGACGACTGGTCTGGCCCGTCCAGCCTGGGCGGCAGGCTGCTGCTGCTGCTGGGGGACCCCCTGCAGAACGTGGACATCCCCTGGACCCCCACCACGCTGGTGCAGGACTGGACGATCGCGCCCGCATCCGCGGGCAGCCTTGGCGGCGGCGGCGGCGGCGGCGAGTTGTAGGTGTGCTGGAGGGCGGTCGTCGTTGGCGCGTGCCTGGAGGCAGGGCTGGTGGTTGCGCGTGCACGATCAGCGCCCCAGCATGCAGGTGACACAGCCGGCGGTTGACCATGTTTTGCTGCTTGAATCCGCCTCGGACGAAATGTTGATCTGCAACCTGTGTGTGTGGCGTAAAGCCGCGGGTTGGCCAGGGCAGGCGCGACCGATAGCTATGTGATTACACGCAGCAGCCTAGTAGAGCCCGCCAGCACGCGTGGCCTGCGGCCTCACCTTGCAGCTGCTAGGCACCCCTCGGCATTCTCCAGAGACAGCCCGCAGCAGAACGCACGAGGCCGTGTGCACGCCTCGGGCAGGGTCAGGGTTCTGGGGTTAGGGTTTAGGGTAAAGGTAATTTCTCTGTTCCTTCAGAGACAGGCTGCAGCGGCCGCGATTGCCAGACAATGGCGGGACCAGCCGCTGGAACGCGCGGCCAGGGCGGATGGGACAGTTTTGATGCTCAATGGAATGAACTTGTGCTGTACACACTGCACCCGCTTTGATTTGTGCAAATGGTACAATCCAGCACCTTTGCAGACCGCCACTGCCCCGACCCATTCAGCTCTTGAATTGCGTGCAATGCGACAGACGCAGCAGGCGCCACCAAGCGCCCTGCAGCTGCCATGTTGCAACATGCACCAGCTAAAACGAGTTACACTGTGCGTAAGCCAGGCACAGTTGGGGCTGCACCACTGACGGGCATGCGTGCGGCACCACAGTCAGCCGATAGCAGCACGAACCCTAGTGCAATCGATGAGCTTCAGGTTCTGAGATCAATATGAGGGAGCAGAGGTAGCACAAATTGAAAATCTGCTGGTGGAGTCAAAACAAGTCACACAGGCGCTTGCGTGGCTGCGCAGCCATGCATGTCCCTAGTGCGTCTGCATGTGACACACACGCACACCCGCTTGCCCTGGAATTACAACACCGGCTGTCAGTGCGTGCCAGCCGGCGCCAGAGGGAGCGCAGCGGGCGCTACGCCGACGCTGCGCCCGCTGGGGCCCGCAGGCCGCGCCTGCTCTGCCGCTGGCTTGGTAGCTGCCTTCTCTGCCATGAGCTTTACGAGCCGCTCATCCTCCTGCACAATGCATTTGCTGTATCAACCGTTTAGCCACAAGCGGGTGGGTGATGAGCGGGGGCAACGCATGCATGCGCGCCCGCATGACATGAACGCCTGGCGCGGTCGCTCTGACAATCTGGGGAGTCGCTACACAGCGTGTCGCCCCTGGTTGCCACGGTTGTCGTGTGCACTATAGCCTCTCACCCTTCGGAAGTACTCGTTTTCTAGGGCCCGACGCCTGTCTTCAAACCCCTTGTTCATGACTCGGAGTGGCTCTCGCTGTTGTGCAGACAGGAAGGTTTTGTGAAAGTGTATGGCTGACATCAAGTGTTGACGTACCAGACAGCAACGCTTGGAACTGATCGGGGCAGGCTCGACAGCTGCCGAGAGCAGTTGCGGGGGTCGTTTTTGATACCGGTACTTGTACGTGGATGGTGCCGTTACAAGATGGAGTTGCAAAAAACACAACATTGGAAAAGCAGCGCCTGCCAAGCAGAGTGGCACCGTCCTGGCATGCGTCGTCCGCGCTTGGCGGCGCCGTTGGGCGCCTTTGAAACATCAACGCCCTAGCCAGCCCTGCAGCTCGGCAAGCGCCTCCATTGCTGAGTGATAGCCGAGGGCAGTGATTTTAAGGTACCAAGGTGGTCGAGGCAGAGGCGATGGACACATCCCGCAGGGCCCAGCCTGGCCTTGTCAGAGCACTCCTTGGTTCAAGGACACGACAGTCCGCGTCGAGTGGGCCGCCGCGCGGGCCTCCCTGTGGCAACCCTGGCCTGGCCGAGGCCATAGCCCTGGCCATCCCAAACCTCAAAGCTGCGACAAAAGCCGAGCAGGCTGTCCTGTGAATCAACTGCTACCTTCCTCGGCATAGCTGGGCAAGACAAGCTAGGACCACGCCCATGGGCAGACGGTTGTACTTGGTGTGCCGGCAAGCAGCAAACTACTTGCTTGATGAGGGTGGACTGCACCCTCCCGCAACTTGTGAATTCAGGATCCCGCCAACCCCCACCGTCCTCTCGCTGTGCAACTGCCTGCGGGTTTGCGCAGCCACTGGTGTGCAGATGGGTGCACTGCAGCATGGTTACATCCGCAGCAACATGTATGGAGGTGACAGCCAACAAGGCAATCGAGCCCACATGCCAACAGCGTTGCCGGTGGGCAGGTGCTGGGCAGCCATCTATGGCGCCGCCCCCTGCCGCCAGTCAGCCGGCAGGCCCTCAGGCATCACCTGTGTGCGGCAGCAGGGGGGGCAGCGGTGAATGTACGCCTGCGCACCATTTGCACGGGACGCGCCCTGGGCGGCTGGGCCGCACCACGCAGCTCCGCAGCCCAGCGCCAGGCCCAGCCGCCCCAGATACGAGCGCCCGCCTGTCCGGGCCAGCGCCCACACCAGCCACGGCCCCGCTTGCCGTCGCCGCTGCGCACCTGCAGTATTCTGAGGGCGGTCATCTGGCTCCTGTGGCCCTGCAGCTTGGAGTAGCGCTTGCGCACCTTCTTCTTGAACACGTGCACCTTGGTTTCGCGGAAGTGAGACTCCACCGCCGCGACCACGCAGGCGCCAGGGACGTAGGGGCGCCCGATGGTCGTGTCCTGGGGTGGCGGGACGGTGCAGTGGTCGGGCAGCAGGTTGAGAGCGACCTTTGCGCTGGGGCTGGCCTGATTCGCCGGGCGTGGGGCCCGCCCCTGCTGCGAGAGACACCGGCCACCGCACACGGGCATCTTTGCCTCGCAAGCTGCTGTGCAGCGAAAGCTACGCTGATCGCGGCGCCGCCCCTTGTGCCGACATACGGCTGAATCACAAACCCCCCACTGAAAATCCCTGTCGCGACGCTCCCGCCTGTCACGCATCAATTTCTCACCTGCGGCGTGCCCAGCAGCAGCACCTTCTCCAGCGCAATCACGTCGTTGACCTCCGCCCCCACCAGCTTCGGGTGCAGGATGACGTCATCAGCCGTCACCTTGTACTGAAACGGCCCCAGCTGCACCACGGCGAACGCCGGCTGCAGCGGGACCGTAAACGCCGCCTCTACACGCCCGACCGCCCGCCAGTGATCGGGCTCATCCACCTCAGGGATCGCCGGGATGGCGGAGTCGACCACGGTTGGCGGACGCCGCTGCTGCTGCTGCTGCTCCCCGGGCGCAGCGCCCGCGCGCGGCCGGCCGTCAGGGGTGCGGCTGCGCCACTCGTCCCCAAGCACCTCTGCGACCGCCAGCCGGCTCGCCGTGTTGTTTTCCTTGCGCTGCGACAGACTGTGTGGCCGCCGGGTGCCATATCCGCGCTGCTGCTGTTGCTGGTGCTGCCCCCGACGCTGCGAGGGGTGGCTGCTGGGCCAAGCACCCCCCGCCGCCCACCATGGGCTGCGCGGAGGCCATGGCGCCTGGCCGTTGCTGCTGATGGTGGGGGGAAGCCAATGCTGTACCTCAAGCTGCGCCCACGACATGGGATTCAAGCTGGTACATCCCAGAGGCTGCTGCTGCTGCTGCTGCTGCTGCTGCTGGTGTGGTCGCACGCGCCCACTTGTGCTGCAACCGTGGTCATTTGCTGCACTGCTGGTTAGCGCACTAGAACCGCCCACGACACGCGCGCTGCTCCATGCAGCGTCTACCCAAGAGACAACTGGGTGCATTAGAGCGCGTCGCATTTTGCTGCTTCGCCGCCCGAGATCGCAAGCGTTCAAACGCCCTGCAATGCCTTAAATCTTCAATCTTTGGGACTTTTGGTTGCTATAGCTCTGCAGGACAGAGCTCCTTGCGTCGGGGGCTCAGATCTGTGGGACCCAGCTCTCATTCAAGCTTGTACCTGCGTTGCCACTTGTTTATCGTACACTGTCACGGCTTGAGAGCCAGGCCTGCTATTGGCAAACGCTAGAGCGAGGCTTTCGCACGCCACTCACTTCGCCCAGCGCTGGTGACGCCACCAAGTCGACCACCAACTAGCATTATTGATGGTACCCTATACAATGTCTGGTGTGGGAATTGATCATCCTGAGTGTCCATATGCATGTCTGCAGCAGTAAGAAGGTGTACAGGTATGGCGACAACCGTCAACGTCTCAAGTCAGCATAAAGCCCGCTGGCCCAGCTGTGTGCCCTTGCTATCACGGTTCCCATGTTATGAAGCAGCCGAAGGGCGTCAGGATGTGCGCAAGCCGCAGCTGCTGCACCAAAAGGGTGGTTTACAGCAGGACCTTGTCTGCACCTCGTGACAGATAAGGGCCACAAACTGCATCAACAGGCAAGCACATGAATGCCGGTTGCCTTGCGGCTGCCTCGCTTCGACTGTCCCCGGCCTCCCGGCCGGGTTGATGCACCAACTTCAAAAAAAGATTGGGGAAGAAGAGGTCAGGCAGAAGACGCAACTGTGCAGTCACAACTCAATCAAACCACCAGCCAAAAAAAGTAATGCTGATGTATATTTATGCCGGGCCAACACACTGCCGCCTCAGCGCTGAGCCCGCCCCTCCTGGCTGCCCGCCTCCCCCTTGCCCGCCCCGTTGCCACCCGTCCCCGCCTCTTCGGCTGCAAACTCGCGTATGTGCTGCCCTATGCTCGCCGCCAAGCCGGGGGCGTCAAAGTTCTTTCCGTAAAACGTGACAAAGTCGCCGTTGGGGTCTATAAGGTAGGTGATTATTGAGTGATCTACGAGGTAGTCGTCTGGGTCATCCGTGGTCTTGTGGAAGTACACCTGTGGTTTTAGGGGCCGGTTTTTAGTGCCATGGAATTGTCGTTGTGGGGATGCGGGGTGAGTGCAGGCGCGGTGTGCATCATCAGGGGGGTGGTGCCTCATAGGGTGGCTTGGGCTGCGCAAGGGGGGCGGTGCATGGCAAGAAACGCTGGCCTGTACATACCAGGGTGCTGCCGCACAGGACGAAGCAGACAGGCATGACAGCAAGTGCGGCAAATGCCGGCAAGCACGTGCCAGCGTGAGCCGCCCGCCGCCAGGACCGGCGACGAGGCCCCTTGCAGCCAGCCGTTCAACGCCTTGCGGTCGTCGCTGGGGCCCCGCGGCGCACCCTGTAGGCCTTGCTGACTGCCTTGATGGCCTCTGGGGTGCCTGTGAGGCCGATCAGGCGCGGGTGGAACTCGCGCACGTACGCCTTGACCTGTTCAGTCGAGCGAGATGTGGGGCCAGCCGCGGGGTCGGTGCGGTGGGGGGGCGGGCCGGCTGGTCCCTGTGCACGAGGCAGGCGCAGGCGCAGCAGCTGATTCAGGTGGGCAGGGGCCACGGCTGCCAGAGCCTGAATTTTTTTTCGGTGACACCAGGGACGGCCGCTGCCCTCCCCTCGCTGGACGCGGCGCCTGCCGGCCCCGAGGCGGGCGCCCGTGCGCCCGTGCGTCTCGCCATGCGCACCTTCTGCGGGCTGTCCCGCTCCGGGTCGATCGTGATGAACACCGGCTGCAGCTTCTCGCCGGCGTCGCGCTCCACGATGTCGATAGCTTCCGCTAGCTTCTCCAGCTCGTCAGGGCAGATGTCGGGGCAGAAGGTGAACCCGAAGTAGAGGACGTTCCAGTGGCCGAGCAGGTTGAGGTGCGTGAATGGCTGGCCATCCTGTGTGTGTGTGTGTGTGTGTGTGTGTGTGTGTGTGTGTGTGTGTGTGTGTGTGTTGCTTCTAAGGGAGATTTCGGCGACTACGCGACGGGAGTGCGCCAGACGCTGGGTTAGTGGGTGGTGGCAAGAATAGGAGGGCGGCCGTTGGGCAGCGCTGGAGATGGCAAAATCCGTCACGGGTGCGGGCGTGCCGCTCCCGGTCAACAGACATGGTTGACCTGCCATCCTCAACGCGCTGCTGGCGGTTCTGAGTCGGCGGGATTTCAGCTGTCGATTATACCTCCATTGCTGCACAAAAATTCAAGCCCCGCTGACCGTCACACCCCCGGCCCGAGGGGCAACAGCCCCTGTGCTCGCCCTTGTGCCCGTGGAGACTCCCCTCGTCGCGTTGCGGTCCGCACCTGGTCCGTGAGTGCGAAGGGGCCCCCCACCGCCGCCTTGCCGACCACCTTCTGGCTGCGCTTCATCATGTCGTCCACGCGCTCCTTTGCCGTGTGCTGCGCGAAGGCGACGACGCCGAGGAAAGCAGCCACGCCCACCAGCATCGAACTGAACGAGATGGGGCTCTTCCTGCCGTCGCCGCCGCCGCCGCCGCCCGCGGCCGCGGCGGCTGGAGCGTGCTGCTGCGGGGCTGCGCCGCCTTCTGAGAAGCAGCGCGCAGTGCCGGGTCGCCGCGGCAACAGCGGCTTCGCAGCGTGCACTCGTCGGCCGTTCATTGCCGCGGACCCATGCCGTTGCCAGGCGCAGCTGTGTGTGTATCTAAGAGCAGTGGAGAATGTGCGCCAGGCGCCACCGTCAGCACCGCATCTGACGCTGCCGCAGCTGCCTGCTGCAATGCTGCCCGTTGCAGCTGTGCCGGCCAAGCGGCCGCAGGCTGTGGCGCGCGATGCGACATCGCCTAGCCGGCCCCACAGCCTCACTGCCAGCACCAGTGAGCGGTGCGCCTGTGTAGACGTGGTCATGGCAACTATGCTGTCACAACGCGCCACAAATGGAAGCCTTACAGACTGTGGTGTGTCAGTGTGTCAGCGTTGCGAAGTGATCTTGATCAATGCGGTCTGTACACAGCTCACACATCTTTATAAAAGTTCCTGTATCTGTAGTGCCGTCAGCAATGATTGATGCATTGCTCCACGCCGCAGATCTACCCGCCCGCGCGCTGCCTTTCCAGCCACCAACGGCATCGTAAGCAGTGTACAGCCGCAATGGATACAGAAGATAAAGACCCTGCTGATGCAGATTGCAGCGAAACGGGCTCTGATGCAGACGCGGACGTTTCAGACACTGAGGCGTGCCCCCGCTCCCGACCAAGGCGCCGTCGCTGCTCGCCGCGGCAAGGGGGTGGCCAGCGGCCCGCTTCGACACGGAAAAAACGCAGCATCCGCCGCAAACAGCCCCTGCAGGCGGGGTCACTCCATGCACCCCCTGCGCGACAGTTGGCCCACGCCACGCGCGGCGCTGGGCTGGCAGCGGCTGCGGCAGCGGATGGCGCGCAGGCGTTCGACCATGCCTTGACATCCGACCTTGACGCCGGCCGTCTAGAGGCGTGCCGCACAATGTGAGCCGGGCGCTTTGGCGGCGGGCGCATGCAGCGCACATGGCTGTTGCTGCTGCGATCGGGACAGCGGGGTCGCGCGCCACGCAGGCCCTCCCGCCTGGCCCCCCTTTTTTCCATTTCAACAGACGCATGTATTGCTGGTGCGCCGACGTTCTGCTCAGGTACCTCTCGTTGCCGCGGCAGAGCCGCTACGCGCAGCACCGGCTGCGAGTGCTGGGGCGCGCCATCGAGCTGCTGGCAATCAGCAGGTGATAAGGGGGCAGCCCAGGGTGCCACAAGCCCGCGCCCTCGCCGGCAGGCCGCCCACCACATTTGAAGCCGGGTTTGGCGAGGACGGGGCGTGGCGCGGTGGCATGATGTGGGCGTTCGCTTGCAGGCCAGGGGCTTGACCACTCGTTGGCACCTGCTGACTAAGCCGAGCCGAGAGGCGCAGGCGGGGCGCGTCTACGCGGGCCGAGCCGGCGCGCCGAGCCTGATGCTGCTCCTACCTTTCGAACCGCAGGGCGATGCGCACCGCGGCGCAGCAGCGCGACCTGGATGACATGCTCAGGAGCCTCAAGATTTGATTGATGGGGCTTTTGCCGCGGCCGTGCCTGCTGCGCGCCCCCGCCGTCACGTGTCTGCGTCGGCATGCCCTGCATGGGGCCCCGCACCGTGGCGCAACCCACAGTGGCGGAGCGCGTCCCACATGCCGCAGGGATTGTGGCTGGGGCACACGCGCCCGTCGTAGCGGCAGCCCTTTGCATGGGCCGCCACTGTCCACGCAAACTGGACTGCACACATTTGGTTCTCAGCTTTCAGGGCATTACATTTAGGGGCTGGCAGCAGAATTTGAGCGCTGCATAAGCGCTCCCAATGTGGTCAAAAAGGCACGGCCGTTGATTCGCCCGGGGCCTGCTATACCTTTACATGCCTGGCGAAACCACAGCTCATCCGTTCCCCCCGTGCAGCCGTAGCTTTTTCGACGGACTGTTCACCTTATGTCCTCTCTGCAAAATTTTCATGTGGCGGTCGCATGATGGGGATTGCATCGGTGACTTGGCAGTGCGCTTGCAGCAGGTAAACAGGGTTTGACTGTGACGCCGTACGGCGCATGCTGCGCATCATCCATTCGCGAGGTTGTATTCACAAAGAGGATCAAAAGCAGCTCGTAATCTAGTGTGAGTGTTGCGTGCGGACAGGAAGACCTGATCAGTTGGTGCCGATCTGTGACAATCCAGGCGGTTCCCTGACGACCCTCTCCAAGTGCCGTAACAAAGCATTATTTTTGTATCACTGTTCAATCCCAATCAAGATTGGCCCAGCAGTGCACATCATGCAGAGCTGTCGGATCCTCAACACATCGCACAGCTCCGCTGGCCCATTGCGAGGGAGTACTGCGGGATTCAATGTAGGCCATATGAAGATGACACCAGCGGCAGTGGGGCTCGGGCAGGTCTGCCGTCGCGGCGTGAGCGTCGCCGCCCGATCGTCCGACACTACGAGCAGCGACACCGCGGGCCACCCGGGCGGCAGCGGCGGCGGCGCGCCCCCAAAGCTACTGCAGCGTGCCGCCGCGGCGCTGTGCGCAGCCGCGATGGTCCTGGCGCCGATGCCGGGCGTGCCGAACGGCCTGCTTGACCCGGCGATCGCCGCTGATGTGGGCAAGGTCGGCACCTGCCTGCTGTCGAAGTGCCAGGGCGCCCTGGCCCGGTGCCTCGCGGACGGCCCCTGCCTGCAGGTGAGAGGGGCGGCGGCTTTCGATTCGGTCTGTGGCACCCGGCTGCAGCGTGGGGGAGGGCGGGCGCGGCGGCCGCCCTCGCGGACACCTAGGCGGTGTATGACGGACGGATGCTGTTGCTGGTGCACGCTGCGGCCCAGCCCCGCGTGGGCAGATCGGCCCAAGCAGGGTCTCACAAGGGTGATTCTTTCGCACCTGCAATGGCAGCTGATTTTGAACTACAACGTCCCGCCCTGCTTTTTCATCATTTCGCCTCGACGACGATTGCAATCCTCACCGCCCGCGGTGCCGCCTGCAACCCTCTGATTCCCGCCAGAACCTGGTATGCCTCAACCTCTGCAACGGGAACCCCGACGAGGCGGGGTGCCAAGTCAAGTGTGGCGACCAGTGAGCGGGGCCGCCTTACTGGGAGTGCCGGGCGCCGCCGGGCGCTCGACCGCCGCAGCACTGGCTGCGGCGGCAGCTGGCGCTCGGCTGGTGGCGGCCGCGCGGCAGGGCCGCCGCGCCCTTTCGCCCCATGCGCTGCTGAAGCGGCAGCATGCGTTTGAGGAGGGGGGAGTGGACGCGGGTCGGTGCGGCGTCGTTCGCTTGGCCGGTGGCCTCGCTGATGGCCCCTCCAGCACTCGTGCCCATGCGGCTGTCGCCGCCGCTGCTGCCTCGCAAGCATGGCACAATCCGCCCCGCGCTGCCGACGCCGAAACTCACAGGTATGGCGACAAGGCCATAGATGCCTTCAACTCGTGCGCCCTGAGCGAGCAGAAGTGCGTGCCCAAGCGCATCGACGAGGGTGAGCTTGCTCCTGATGAATAGCTGCGGCCGCCTGGCTCTGACGCCCTGTGCTGGTTCGCTCCCATGGCGAACGCTCCCTTGGCACCTCCCTGTACTTAGTGCAACAACTGCCAGCTGCCTGCAAAACCACCCGCATGCGAAACTGTTCCCAAACCCAAGCGACGCGCCCTTGCCTGTCGCCCCACCCTTGCGTCGCCCGCGCGGCTCCTCCCCTGAATCCGCACACCCAGCGCCCCCTCTGATCGCCCCGCGCCCCTGCCCACCTACCTACACGCCCGCACGCCCGCCGCAGCTTTCTTCGTCCCCAAACGCCGCCGCCCTTTCCCCGCGCCCCCCCCCCTGCGCAGACCTCTACCCTGTGCCGCCGGTCGAGGCCCTGGACAAGGCCTTTGATATCTCGGGCTTCACGGGCCGCTGGTACATCACCGCGGGCCTCAACCCGCTGTTCGACACGTTTGACTGCCAGGTGGGGCGCGGGGGGCGCGCGCCTCCGCGGCAGGTGGCCAACGCGGCGGACGCGGCAGCGGGCCAGGCGACGCTGCACGGGTGACCACACGCACGGAGGGGAGCCTGTCCCGGGCTGTGGCAGCGCGCACGAGCTGCGGCGTTGGTGCCAGAGTGGCAATCAGGGTGCATCCATGGGCGGTGCCCTGGGCCGCTTGAGGCCTGCTGTGCTCATCACTAGACCGTGGCCGTGCACTGCATGGACTGCCTGAACTCTGAAACCCTTCATGCTTGTGTGCTTCGGCTCTCTCCCGGCAGGAGCACTTCTTTGTGAACCCCGAGCCGGATAAGATCTCCGCTCAGATCAACTGGTGCGCGGGCGCGGGCGCACGCCGCGTGCACGCGGCCCTGGCGTGCCCTAGCTTTTGCGCTGCGCCGCCGCCAGCCGGCCCCTCGCTGCACGCCGTCCCTGCCGGTTCGCTCGCCCGTGAATGCCCCTACCAACATACCTGCCGATCCTGCACCCCCAGCCGCCCCACACACCTCTTTTTTTTCACACGCACTCACCTCCCTACACCCCACCCTCCAAACCACCTGCCAGGCGCATCAAGAAGCCCAACGGCGACTTCTCTGAGCGCAGCACCATCCAGGACTTTGTGCAGGACAGCTCGCAGCCCGCCATCCTATACAACCACGATAACGAATTCCTTCACTACGAGGTGTGGTCGGCCGGGCCGCCGAAACGGGCCAGAACTAAATGAATGACATACCAAGGGATGGACAAGGGAGAGGCGGGGCTGGACGGCGCCGCTGTCGATGCTGCGGGGCGCGCGTCCCGGGCCAGCCGGCGAGGTGCCCTGCGAGCGCGGGGCCGGGGCAGGCGCTGGTGCTGGCCCAGCCCACGGGGTGCCAGGGCCGTTGCAGGCCCCCCTGTCCAAATCCACGCCCCCCTTGAGCGCGCGTCCATGTGTGCACTCCCACCCGGCAGCCCATCCGCACTTCTTGCAGCAGACGCAGGTGCACGCACCTTGGCTCACTTTGCCTTGCCCCGCCCTGCCCGCACTCGCCCCCCTCCCTTACCCACAGGACGACTGGTACATCCTGGGGTCGAAGCCTGACGAATACATCTTCATCTATTACAGGTTGGCAGGCTGACAACTATTTTATCAAGAGACAGCCAGCAGGGCAGGGACAAATAGATAAGTTACTCATGCCATGGCATCACTGCCATCAGCGCGGGGATGTGACGCACAACGTCGAAAAACCTAGTGGCAGGGACGGGCGGGGGAATCGACCCTGCGCGCCAACGGGAGGCGACCGTTGGCGAGAACGCGCACTTTCGCACGACGGGCCGCCTTCCGTGAATTGCTGCGTCCGGATGCCGCGGCGGATCGACCCGCGCCGCGCGCGGCACTTCCAACCCGCGCCCCCTGCACCCCGCCTGCCGCGGCGCCCCAGGGGCAACAACGACGCGTGGAAGGGGTACGGCGGCGCAACTGTGTACACGCGGGAGCGGCAGCTGCCCCAGGAGTTGGTGCCGGAGCTGACTGAGGTGGCCAAGGGCGCCAACCTCAAGTGGTCGGACTTCACCATAACGGACAACACGTGCGGCCCGCACCCGCCGCCGAAGCCGCTGCTGAAGGTCGGCTTTGGGCGGTCAGGGGGCGTCGTTGCGCGAGCTCCCTGGCAACGGTGTTGAAGAGGCCTTGCATGTGCAGAGACATGCGTGCACACGCATGCATGCACGCGAGTGTGCGCACACACACACACACACCCACACACACACACACACACACACACACAAACACGCACACACGTACACAAACACACACACACAAACACCCACACACATACACATACATACACATGTTCGTATATACACATATACACATGTACACACACATTTGCACAAACATACACAAACACAGCGTCCTGCACTCACGCACAACCACATGCCTGCACTCCCCTTCCCCCCCAGGCCGTCGAGGCCGAGGCGGAGCGCGTGGAGGCGGCAGCTGAGATGCAGCTGCGCAGCTTCGGCCGCGGCTTCACCGTGTTTGAGGACCGGCTGGCCTCAGAGCTGCTCGCGGAGGAGAAGGAGCTCGCGAAGGACCTGCGGGAGTTTGAGCAGCTGCTGGAGAAGGTGCGCGCGCCTGCGCGCACACGCGCGGGCCTGTGCCTGTGCCTTTACGATGGGGCAGGAGCACCGTGGGTCTGCGCAGCGGTCCGCCGGGCCGCGCCAGCAGCCGCGCGCGACCGCTCTCGCTTGTAGACACTGCCGGCGACGGGCGCGAGCCTCCCCGCAGCACGTAGCCGGCGCGCCCCGTCGTCGTCGCCCACATTGGCCGCCGCGCGCCGCGTCCCCGCAGGCCGAGAAGGAGGCGGCGGCCAAGTTACTGGAGGAGGAGGAGCTCGTGGTCAACGGGCTGCAGGGCTTCTTCAATAAGGTGGCAAGCCTCTTCACACGCAGCTCCTGAGGCGGTGGGCAACCGGCGCTGCGCTCGAGCCGGGGGCACCGGGCCCCGGCGTGCCGCGGCGGGCCGGCGGGGCCGCTGTCGTACCTCGCACCACCGCGGATGCCGGTCTTGCGGGAGCAGTGGCAGAGGCGCACGCCGAGGGGGAGGTTGTGCCCTGGACTTTGTTTTGGAGCGGAGGGTGGGATTTTGAAAACGCTTTCCTGTGCGGCTGCACATTTGCTGTACTCCTGTGGCCCTGTGGTAGTTTGGACCGCGTTATTGGGGGTGGGTTTGCCGATTTTCGCTGCGCGCGCACACATGGATGTGCCGCCGTTGTGCTGTCACCTTCTGCAGCTGTTTGGGGCAGGCAGGTGGCGGCGGGCATGCTAGCGTGCGGGCCATGCCGCTGATGCGGGCCTCCCGTGCCTTGAGATTGTGTTGCTGCGGGCCGGCGCTGCATGGTCATGCCTGCTCTGGTTTTGGGCCCCCCGTCGGAGGGCTCGGCCACCTCTTGGAGCCACCTTGAAGCACGAGCAATTGGCTCAACCAACATGTAATCTCATCTGTCACTGGCTTCCATGATGATAAGTGCCGCCCCCGCTGGACGGCAGCACACACTGCTGTTGTGCATGCGCATCATACCTCAGGAATTCAGCAGTCTTCGCTTGCATTGCATTGCAGGATACTGTGTGCAACCGCAGGATACCGTAGTGTGATTGTTTGAGAGGCATGAAAGCGCATGTGTTGACTCATTGACTTCAAATGCAGCCCATCACATAAAGCGGACCCTGCATAGCCGCACATACATGAAACTTGGGTTTGCTAACTTTATGGTGTGATCCCGTCACCCTCTAGCAGCCCATAGTGTTGCCGAGGCTCGATCACGGACATTCCCGCCGTCACTTCGTTCAAGCTTCAGCTGGTCCAAGGGATACCTGACAGCAAACATCCTCTTCAATTCTCGTTACGACCCACAGCGGGGTGTCGTTCGTCTATGGACTTGGTTCTGCAGCATCTCGGGCCCTCATCAATCTGCCACGTTGCCACATTTTACAGCGCGGCATCCACCATCAGGCTTTTGGGACTCATTCGGCATCTTACACAAGGCGGAGTGCCCGCCATGCGCACTGCGACAGCACCGGCGCTTGGCGCGCCATCGCTGGCGTGGCCGCAGCGGCGCGACATGCGGTCGACCCCAGCAGCAGCGCACACCCGCACGCACGTCCTCTGTGGTGCCAGGCAGTACAGCAACATCACGTCGCCTGCGGCCGGCGCCCATGCGCTGTCGCCGGCGGCCGCTTTGCTGAGAGCGATCCGTCCACCGTTCCCGCCCCGCCCGGACACGCCGTGGGCGTTGCAGCCGCCACGCGGCTACTTTATCCGCCGCCGCCACGGCCACCGGGGCGAGGGCAGTGCCCTCAGAAGCAGCAGCGACGCAGCCGCCGGCGAGGGCAAGGCCGCAGGCGCGCCGCCGACGGCGGCCGAGGAGGCGCCAAGGGCGGGAGAGCTGATCCTGGAGGACGGTGGCGGCGAGTTTGGCAGCGGCGCGCACGGCGACGGCCACGGCGGCGAGCACGGCGGCGGCCACGGCCACGGTGCCCATGGCGGCGCGGCGCACCAGATTCAGCACAGGGCCGTGGAGAAGGTCTCGTTCAAAGTCCTGGAAAAGGTGCGGCACGGGGGGGAAATCACGATGTACTAGACAGGGTGCACGATGGCCGCGCAGCAGCGCGTGCGCGCACTCGTATGGCGTGCTGCACGCGCAGGGTGCGCCGCATGTGCACTGCAACATGTCCCTTCATGCATTTTGAAGTGCAGCGCATGCATCATCCGCATGAGTGTGCGTCAGTGGGCGCAAGACATGCCAAGCAGTTGGCACGGGTTCGGTCAAACCAGCCGAGCTTCGATCCCGCTTGACGTGTGCCGACGCACAACAAGCCGCCATAAAGCCTACGCTGACAGGCAACGCCGCTTCACCCGTCAGACTGCATGCGCACTCACGGCTGCCCCTCCCCCCAAAGGAAAACTACGTACCCACCCACTCGCTCTGCTTGCAGCTTGCGGAGCACATGAGCGAGCGTGCCGGCGAGCGCGTCGCCGAGCGCGTCGGCGAGCGGCTCGCCGAGCGCGCGGGGGAGAGGATTGCGGAGCGCGCCGGCGAGCGCCTCGCGGAGAGGGCCGGGGAGCGACTGGCGGAGAGGGCCGCCGAGCGCGCGGGGGAGCGCCTGGCCGAAAGGGCTGCGGAGAGGGCGACCGAGCGGCTGGCCGAGCGCGCGGCGGAGCGGGCAGGGGAGCGCTTGGCAGAGCGGGCCGCGGAGCGGGCAGGCGAGCGCTTGGCAGAACGGGCCGCGGAGCGCGCCGGTGAGCGCTTGGCCGAGCGAGCAGCAGAGCGGGCAGGGGAAAGACTTGCGGAGCGCGCTGCCGAGCGTGCCGGCGAGCGGCTGGCCGAGCGCGCCGGCGAGCGCCTGACACAGCGTGCAGCAGAGCGGGCGGGCGAGCGCCTGGCGGAGCGCGCTGCAGAGCGAGCCGGGGAGCGGGTGGCAGAGCGCGCTGCCGAGCGCGCTGGTGAGCGCCTCGCAGAGCGCGCCGCAGAGCGAGCGGGCGAGCGCTTGGCAGAGCGTGCGGGAGAGCGCCTCACGCAGCGTGCAGCAGAGCGGGCGGGCGAGCGCGTCGCCGAGCGCGCCTCGGAACGCGTGCTCGAGCGGGCCGGGGAGCGCGCCGCGGAGCAGGCGGCCGAGCGCGCCGGCGAGCGCGTCGCGGAGCGCGCGGGAGAGATGTTGGCCGAGCGCGCGGGCGAGCGCGCCGGCGAGCGCGCGCTGGGCCGCGCCACCGAGCACGCAGCCGCCGCCGCCGGCGCGCGTGGCGCTGAGCACGCCGCGGCGGCGACTGGTGGGCACGCGGCGGCGCGGGCGGCGGCGGGGCACGCGCACGCGCATGCGGCGCGGCCGGCGGGGCTGCTGGACAAAGCGATCGACGCGGCGCTGTCCTCACGCGCTCTGCAGCGCGTCGCGTCGCCCGCGGTGCGCAGGGGCCGGGACTGTTCGGGGATGACCTGATCTCCGCGCGCCGGCTGGGACGCTGCTGGCGACGCGCCTGTTTGCCTCCTTGCGAGGCTCCTTGCGGGCTCATCGGGCCGGCAAGCAACAGCTCCAAATCAGGCAGCCATGCACGCAACCTGCGGAGCCCCTCGCTCGGCGTCCCTCGGGCCCACCTGACCTCTGACTCACCCCGCCCTCCCAATCCGGCCACGCTGCCGCCGGCCCCAGGTCCTCGCCCGCGTCGGCCGCGGCGCGGTCGTCGCGCTGCCCGCGCTCGGGGCCGTCTTCATCGCCCACCTCGCGCGCCAGGACTGGCAGCGGCTGGCGGAGGAGCGCGCGGCGGGGCGGCCGTGGGCGGCGCGTGCGTTCCTGGTGGCGTTCCTGGGAGACATGCTGGACGTGGTGATGCACGCGGTCGTGGTGGTCGGCCTGCTGCACCACCACTTCCAAGTGAGTCTCAAGCCAGGCCCGGGGCTCGCGGGCCGGCTGGGTGCGCGGGCAGCGGCCGTTCGCGGCGCCTGCGAGCACGCACGTGCGGGCTGCAGCTGCAGGCGAGGCGGCTGCCGGGTCGCGGGCGCCTCCTGGGCGCGGCTGGGCCCGATGTCGCTGCCGTCACTTATGCCAACTACCAGCCAGCCTCCCCGCAGTCAAGCCTCCTAACATGCGCGAATCTGCCATGGCGCATGCCCACCTAACTCTCCCCCCCCTCCACAACCGGCTGTCTCCCGCCCCTTGTCGCAGGTGGGCATCCCCATTGCCCATTCAGTCGTCCACGCGGTCGAGGCGTCCGGCGTGACCGTCGCCGTCGTCAGCACCGTCGCCGCCACGCTGGGCGAGGTCATTGCGACGCACGCGCTCCTCGCCGCCCAGCGGGAGCAGGAGCGCAGGCGCGTGGACGAGATCGCGACGGCGGTGGTGCGGGCGCTGGATGAGGCGGAGGGCGCGGTGGAGCGCGGGGCGGCGACTGCGGACGCCGGCGGCGCTGCAAAGGCGAGGGGCGAGCTGTGATTTAGGGGCCCCTCTGCGGATGTGACAAGCCCTGATGTGGTGCAGTGATGTTTCTAGAGCGGGCAGGTGCGGGCCTCGCGGCGGTTCCCATCATTTATTTGTGCTCACTCATTGTACCGTGCATGACGCGCCTTTGCAGGGCACATTTTCAGGGCACATACACGTAGTCACTGTCACAAGAGTCACCCATCACCATTGATCCCCAATACTGCATGCCATTCATATTACTATCACACTTGCTACAGCACTGCTACAGCACCTAAAAAAACCACGGGTGTAAAAAGCGCGTCCACTGGTCTTGCCAGGCAGTGAAGGGCACAGCCACGGCAACACATACATCAGCTGCGGCTAGACGACTTAGACCCTGCTCATGGGAGACTTCATAAACATGCGTCTGATAAACATCACCTGCGCGCCGGGGCGTGGGATGAGGTGGGGGATGCGTGCGAGGCAGGGTCGAGCAGGGTTGGAGAGTGAGACGTGTTGGCGCTGCCGTGTGCAGAGTAACCAGTAGGCGGGCTGGTTACTCTGCGGCTTCTGTGGAATCAGCACCAGCCCCCACCTGCTTTCTGTGCCATGACTTCCTTGCAATTGATACCCCTCTGAGCACACAGCTGATGTGCAGTAAGCTGCCGAGATGGCTCGGCAGCGCGCCGGCTTCATTCAATTGCAGTTGCCTGGCCACCTGCCGCCCAGGGCGCAGAACGCTCTGTGCAGTGCCCCTGACAAGCAAGCACTTGCATAGCGCCACTGTGGCCGCTGTCAGCCGCGCCAGCGTGCGCCCCGTCCCCTCACCTGCCCTACTGACGCCGCCACGATGACGGAGCAGCGCAGGGCCGCATAGAACAGCGTCCGCCGGTGCGTGCTCTCCACCGTCTGGCGGTGCCGCCGCTCCCGCCAGTAGAGGTAGTGGAGGGTCGATTTGAGCTCCTGGATCTGGCTGTCGATCTGGTAGACGTGGTGCCACAGATACTGCGTGTCTGTCTCCTCCACTTTATCATGGCCCTCGCTATACCCTATGTTGATGTTCCACAGCACGTCGCGCGTCACGGCGGCGCGCGACGGGCTCTTGTCGGCGTTGAAGCGCAGGCAGAAGCTGTGGCCGCCGGCCTCGACGGGGACGAGGTGGAAGGTAGCCTCGGACTCGCCGCTGACCTCGTACAGCTTCTGGCCGCTGGGCGCGGTGACCACGAGGTCGTACTTTGCGGGCGTCCCAAACTGATCTGGCAGCGCTACGAAGGACCCGTAAAAGTACTCGTACTGGTTGAACGTGTAGGACAGGCACTCCTCGTGGATGAACTTGAGCTTGACGGCGTCCGCGCCGGCGGCGAGCAGCAGCAGTGCGGCAATGAGCGCCAAGAGCGGGGGACGAGTGTGCTGCGCAGAGCGCGCCACTCGCCGTGGTGGTGCTGTTGTCTGCACTGCATCCCGCATGCTGGGCTAGCGTGAGTGTGCAGCAATCAGGCTGCCCAACGCCAGCAATCAGCCTTTCTGATCGCGAGGAACGGTCGATCCACGGAGGCTGGGTGCAGATCAGGCAATGGTTGCGGAGTGATCTCTTTGAATTGCTAACTCACAATGTAATACGGTGCTTTGATTTAAATCAGGCAGCGCTGCCTGCATGGCATTGATCAGCTGACGACAATCCGGGACACCTCGGCCGGGTGTCGCTCGCTGTCATGCAGTGCTCATTCAGTCATGCACGCGTGGCACATCAGCGTGACCGCACTCACGCGACGCGGACCACAGCGGGCGCGGGGATCTCCAGGCGCAAGTTCATCCGCCACGCAAGCCGACGGACCTCACCTATGAAGGTGCACCCCTGTTTGTGCAACGAGGGCTGAAACTGTATTTCGGTGCCAATTCGATTACCTGAGGCAGGCAGGTGCTGAATGGCATGGGCATCATCATGCCAATTGCCACTTTGACCAGCGCGGACCATGGTACTGGCCCACCCAATGCCTTGCCACAGATGGGCCTGCAGGCAACCCGAGGCAGCAGCTTCCGCACCTTCTGGGCGCATTTAGCGCTGGAGTTTGCCGCGGTTTCTCCAGCAAACCCCTTTGATTGCTGTGCCAGCTGCACTTGACGGTCTCAGCTCAGCAGCTGCGGGGCTGACTCGACGCGTGGCAGGTCAGCAGGGGGTGCTGCAAGTAAAAATTCCTTCTTGTTGGATGTTCCCTGCAGTGTGCGGGAACGTTGGGTTTGTCAAAAAGCAGTCGGTTTGTACAGCTTCCATGACACACATGGATCCCATGACATTTCATGACATTCATGAAGCATAAACCACGGCTCAAAGCTTTTTGGTTCCCTCTGAATGAACGCCCCTCGCCAGGCTGCTGGCCCTTGCACTTGGCGCGCCGGCCCCAGTCAGTTTGCCCGCTGTGCTCCTGTGCGACGCTCGCTTCAGCAGCATGCACATGGCAGCTCTATGCGTTGTGTCAAGCCTGCAACTGTTGCAAATCCACAGTACTGTACGGGTAATCCTCCTCCTTGTCGCGTATTTGTTCAACCCCAGTCTAAACCCACGGACAAGCTGTTGTGGCAAACATGGGACGACTTGCTTGCAAAGTCGACGTCTTGAGTCTCACTCCTTTGGGAGGGGGAGTGCACTCCACGGTGTATGGTCGGCTCGGGGGCAAGCGGCAAGGGGTGCAGAGCAACAGGGGCGATGACGAGAGGCGGGCGCGGCGGCGGCGGCGTGCGCTACCTTTGCCTTGATCCTTATCCGAGTGAGGCATGCGCACACGTGAAAAGAGCTCATTATGGGATTGTTAAGGCCTCGGAACCCACTTGGTAGTCATCACCCTGAACACGTGGACCACGCCGCCGATCTGGCGGCTTGTAATGTAAACTACGCATTTGGTGGTCATACATCAGCTTCTTGTGAGAGACACAGAGTCCCACGTTTCCGCTGCTGGATGCCACGGCATCCACCCACCCAGCGTGCGAACCCAACAGCAGAGTCTACTCGTCAAGAGGCCACGACAGCTCTCATTCATTCTGTTGTACACCGCCTCCGTAACAACAAACGATGCAATCAGCACGCAAGCACCTTACGAACGGGCTTCATCAAGCCCTCGACCAACAGATAGGCTCCGGACGCACCTGGAGAGTCTAGGGAGGAAAATCAAGACTTTTGATTGCCTGAACCTTGCTTCCGGTGAGCAGGGGGTCTCGAACGAGAAAGATGCCTTCTCAAGTGAATGTGTGTTCGTCGCAGCTCGGCGGCTTGCTTACGCCCACGCGACGCGACCGAAAAGGAGGGAATATCACCATCTGCGCGCTGCTGCGCTCGCAGGCCCCCCTTTTGTGCCAGCAGAGCGGCGCCCCTTCCGCAGCGCGCGCGCCGGGCAGGAGCAGGAAGCAGGCGGGAGCGGTCCTTGGACGCGCCGAGCCCGGTCGCCTTTGCGGCCCCTTCATCGAGGGGTCCCGTTGAGGCAGCCGCGGCTTCGGCCGCTGGGGCGCAGCGATGAAGTTTGGGAAGCGGCTCGCCGCTGAGGCGGCGCGCAGGTGGACGGCGCATTACCTTGATTACAAAGCCATCAAGAAGGCGATTAAGGATGACATCCGCCAGTCGGGTGCGCCCTGCGCGCATCCGCCAAGCCCAAAAGCCAGCGCAGCGCAGCGCCGGGGCGCGCCGCGGCGGGCGCGAGGGGGGCGGCTGGCCGGCGCAGCGGAGGCTGCAGCATATGCCAACAGCATATGCCGCCGCCGCCCAGACCAGACATTGACCCTCCGGCCCGCACCCCTGGCGCCACCACACCGCCGCGCGGCGCCTTTCTTGCACTCTCATCATCAATTATCAGCGTCCTATCTGACCCGCCGGCCGACGCCGCCGCGCCCGCCCCGCGTGGGTCACCCTCTGCCCCCGCAGATGCCGGCGGCGCCGGCGCGCTGCGCGTGCTGCTTCTGGAGCTGCGGAAGGTCAGCAACTTCTATCTTGAAAAGGCGGACGAGCTGGAGGCGCGCCTGGAGGAGCTTGCGGCTGCAGGCGCCGCTACGCGCGACGCGCGGGCCCTCGCGCAGGTGGGGTGCGCAGCCGTGCAGCGCGGCAGCGCAGTGCAGTGCAGCGCAGCGGGCGCACCCGCGGCAGCCTTGGCTGTGCATGGGCTGTGTTGTGGAGCCAGAGCAGTGGCTATGTGCGTGCGCGCACTCGCGTGCAGTTGTTGTGGCGATCGGCCCCGTGCAGCCAACCATCACAATCGAACATTTTGTTGCGTGTGCATACGCCTACGCCTCTCATCCCCCACCCCTCACTCCGCTCGCCGCGGCTCTGCACCCGCACCCCCCAGGTCCGGTCCGACATATCTGCGCTCATCAAGTTTGTCGCACTGAACTACCTGGCAGTTGTGAAGGCCATCAAGAAGCGCAACAGGCACTTCAAGTCGCACTTTGGGGAGGCCAGCCAGCAGCTGCAGTGGCAGCGGCTGCAGCAGGGCGCGGGCGGGCAGCAGCAGCAGGAGCCGGCCGGCTTTGACCCGCTGCACCCCCTGGACCTGCTGTCTCAGGAGGTCTTCTTCACCAGCAACCGCCTGGCCGGCCTGGCCACGCGCGCCGAGGTCCTCAGCCGCGAGGGCCCCGACGGCGCGCTGCTGCCGCCGGCCGGCGCGGCGGCGGGCACCGGCGGCGCCGCGGGCGCGGGCGCGAGCGCGGAGCAGCGCGCGGCGGCGCGCGAGGCGCTGCTGCAGGACTACCAGTGTCCCGTCTGCCTGGAGGTGCTGCGCAACCCCGTCGTGCTGACGTGCGCGCACCGCTTCTGCTGGGGCTGCCTGGTCGCCCACTATGCCGCGATCCGCGGCCCCCGCAGCGCCGGCGCGCCGCCGGCGCCGCAGCCGCTGCCACCGCAGCAGCAGCCAGGCCACGGCCACCAGCCGCAGCACGGCCACTCGGGCTCGGGCTGCGGCGGCAGCGCTTGTGGCGGCCACAACCACCACCACGACCAGCAGCAGCAGCAGCAGTGGGGCGGTGACGCAGCTCCTGGCGCGGGCGAGCAGCACGAGGCGCTGGTGGTGCTTGAGAAGATTGTGGAGGCGCAGGACTGCGAGGATTCGACCTACTACGCCTGCCCCGTCTGCAGGCAGCCCCAGGTGCGGGCCAGTGCATTTTTTCCGGCAGGGGCCACGCTTGCTGTGCTCCCCAGTGCCGTCGCTCATTGCCGCGTCCCTGCCCGCAGCCGTGCCCTTGAAGACTCCGCCGTGAGTGCCACTATCAACCCCAACGTCCTCACCCCTCCCGGTTCAACCCCCACCCTCGCTCGCGCCCGCAGGTCCTCAACATTGAGAGCCTGCAGGTCGACCCCCACCTCACCCGCTTCATTGATGACCTGCGCGTCCAGCTCGCCCCCTCCAACGCGTCCACCGCCTCGACCGTGTCGATGGCCGACGTCGACGACTCCGAGGTCGAGCCCGACGAGATCGAGGCCGAGGTGGACTCCGAGGCGGCCGAGGCGGCGGCAACGGAGGCGGCGGCCGCGGCGAGCGAGGCGGCGTCGAGCGAGGCGGACATGTGGGTGGGGCTGGAGAGCGACGAGGACCTGGAGGAGCCGGCGGACGGCTGGCTGCTGCCCCCCCAGGCGCCCGAGCACGCGGTGAGGCGGCTGGGCTGGTCCGCACGCGGGCCTGCGCACCCACACTTCCTCCTGAACCCGCTGCTCTGCCCTGAAGGAGCTGGTCTGTTCGCGCCTCCAGCCTGACCTTCCATAACAGGTGCGCTCCTCTTCCTACCCTCTCACCACATCCTCATCGCTTGACCTTCCCCTCCTCCTTCCTTCGTCAACGTCGTCCCCAGGGCCGCCTGACCGTGCTGCTGGACCTGGACGGCACCCTCATCAGCAGCTTCACCCCCAAGCGCGCCCCCCGGCTGCCGCCCACCATGAGGACGCACCTCGTCGGCCAGGGGTCGGGCCTCAACCCGGCAGGCGTGTTTGTGGTGGAGCGGCCGGGGCTGACGGACTTCCTCGCCGAGCTGGCGGCGTTTGCGGAGGTCGTGGTGTTCACGGCAGGTGCGGCCCGGGAAGTGCACGCGCGTGTGTGGGTGTGGGTGTGCTCTGCACTCAGTGCTGATGTTGACGGGGACGGCAGGCGCGGCGCCCTGCCCTGGTGGCGGCGGCCGCACCTCTCCCGCTCTCAGCATGGCCGCCAGCCGACCCTCTGGCCTTGCCCTTGCATAGCAGCACTGCGGTCGCACACCTGATAAAGTCCAACCCGCACAGCCTGCACAAAGCAGGCTCTCGACCATCCCAACACCCCCCACAAACCGCACCCCAACGAAACCAAACCCTCAACCCCGCAGGCCTCCAGGAGTATGCTGCGCCCATCATCGACGCGATCGACCCCGGCAGCAAGTACGTCGCCGCCCGCGTCTACCGCGAGGGCACCACCCGCACCGACCACTACCAGTGCGTCAAGGACATGCGCCGCGTCGGCCGCGCGCTGTCGCGCACGGTGCTGGTGGACGACACGCCGCTCGCGTTCCTGCATCAGCCGAGCAACGGCGTGCCCGTGCTGGGCTTCAGGGGGGACCCCGAGGACAGGCTGCTGGGGGAGGCGGTGCTGCCACTGCTGCAGGTGCGTCGCGGGCCGCGACGGGCGGGCGGGCAGGGGGCAGAGGCACGGGACGGCGTGTGGCAGCCTGGGGTCTGTCAACTGTTTCAAGACCGGCCTTGTGTTGGGTGCGCTGCGTCACATGGAGCACTTGTAATCTACAAGCAGGTCGGCTGCTGCATGCCCAGCGCAGTCCGCGTTTATCCTAGCATGCTCCTGGTCAATCCCTGCCTCACCGCCCCTTCTGTGACCGTGCCCGCAGACGCTGGCGGCCGCGCCCGACGTGCGCCCGCTGCTGGACCGGCGCTTTGACATGTGGAACTGGTTCCGCCGCCACGGCTA